GGGGAGGAACAAGTATATGTGTATACTACTACACTAGATTTCTTGAAATAACATAAAGTGAATATCAGTTTGAATTAAAAAGTAAAATTTTAGCCCTTGATTCAAATCACCATACAAAATGTATTGTGATAATAGACTGACATTGTTTGTGCAAAATTCTGCATACACCTTTGCATCTTATTCCATCCGACCTAAGAAAAATCATATTTTTCATGGTTGGAGGACTTGGAAGTGTTTTGGCATATTTGGATGACTTGAGAAATTTATCAATAATCCTTCATCTCATTTTACATGATAGTATTTCACTCAAAATGGAGTTTACGATGTTATTCTAATTTTACATACTCCTTTGTGTTAATGACATTGAAAAAAATATTAAAAAAAATAATTGAAGATTAGTGCGATAGAGAAATACTAAATCATATTTTAAACGTTTGAATAAATGCGGATCTGAAATTTTTTTGCACTTGACTGGGTGGACAATTGACCGGAAGATAATTTCGATTCGCCCGGCCAGCAGGCGGGCGGCGTGCTTATCTTGTGTGACAACACTACTGAGCGAGTTGCTCTTTTATGTTATTTTGAAAGTTGTGAAAGTCATATAGAATAAATTTATGAGTACAATAGTACGTGCGAAATATTTTGAAGTATTCCAAAATGGATAGAGTGCAATCTAAAATAGGGCATAAAGAGTAATAGCTCTTAGCTCACTGCTAGAGTTTTCACCCAAAAAAATATATATTAAAAAAAGGAGGAAAAAGACTTCTAAAAGTCTTAGTACGACTTAAAACAAGGACATATATGAAAAGTCAAATGATTTGCCCTTCGCTTTTTAATCAATATTTTGGAGTAGCAAGCTGCGTTTCATATCATAACCTCTGAGTTTAGGAGAAATCCTTGATCATTGAACCCACCACTTGAACTTTATTTTTTTTTTGCTTTTATCATAAGCAGCTTGTTATTAACTTTACAAATGTGACTTGAAAAAAACAAAAGGTTTTGTAGGTATTGGTTATTAAGGCTCTTTTCTTTTTCTTTTTTGGATTTTTCTGGGAGAGGGGTTTGATATTGTGATTCACATTGCTGAAAATTACCATTGGATAGATACAGACTAGTCAGTGGTCACCATCGAAACCTTGTACGGACAATAGCTAGGCAAAATGTAGTTGTCACTGACGACCTATTATTGATTTTTGAGGTCACAAAATATCCAAATGTAAGGGGGACATCGACATTATCTCTTATGGATCCCTATATCGACTACACTGCCTTGCTGTGTTGAACTGGAGTCCGTGTTTTTCGTGTTAACGGAGTTATGCTGGAACTCCAATATAATATAATATACTAAAGTTATATATTGCAACTTTCCGTGTGTTGGGGTTCCAGTATAATATGCTGGAAGTTCATACACAGGTGCACCGATCTCCAGTATATTATGCTGGAACTTTCCGTGTTGCAGCAAAATAGTGGCTATTTCTCAATGACTTTGCAAACGCTTGCTATTTTTGAATGACCAGTCCAAAAACTGGCTAGCCCGTGCTATGCGTTCAAACTGGATCGGAAAATCGCACCAAACTGATTAAAAAGCCCAACTAAATTTGGTTTGATTTGGTTTGGTATTGAGTAAAAAAACGAACCAAACCAACATATAAATATATAATTTTTATATATACTTTAAGACTTTATATTGAATTTTTTTTAAAAAAAAAATAATGATATTTGAGATCCTCTCGTGAGATGTAATATTGAATAGAACTATGAAATGCATTCACTTTTATTTATTATAAATAATGAATTATATCGCTTTCTTATCAAGTGTTACTGAAATGCGTCAATCATCTATTTATTATTCCATATTTATATGTCAAGATTTCTTATTTCTTTTCCGCATTTGAAATAGTATTTCAATAATTTAAAATTAAATAGAATATATCATTATTTAGGTATCATCTTGGTTTTTATGTTTATTTATTGAATACGGTTAACCTTGAAAGTGTATATTAACGAAAAAATATTGTTAGACAATTAAGAAAATAACTATCATGTGTTCCTAAAAAATTATCCCATAAGAATATTTTAATAGATCATATGTTTATCAATTTTTAAATTTTTACTAAACATATATTGACTTATCAAAACTTTATCGATAACTTAAACAAAGTAAGATGGAAAAATATTCATGTAACAAAAAAATCCGAAAAAAAACCAAAAGTCCGAACCAATCCAAACCGATATAGTTGGTTTGACTTGATTAGGTTTTGATAAAAATCGAACCAACCCGGTCTATGTACACCTCTACTAAGCATATTTAGCAATTACACCATTTAGTTATCCACGAGATATGTTAAGTTTTTCCTGTTACTTCATATTTGATAGTAATATATAGTTCTAAAAATAGTTTGAATATTACATATTTCCTATTGGATACATTTTAAATTAATTATCTCTTTACGATTGGCATGAATCAACATGACTACACTTCGTAATGCTGTTACCTGAATAGAAAATCAATATATTTAAGAAATTGCATAAAGATACATTATTCCTAAAATAGTCTTAAGGGTGTGTGAGCGCTACTGTGTTAAAACACAAAATCAGAAAACTGTTAGAATAATAAAAGAAACTGGAAAAACTGTAAAGATTCAGAAATATTCCGAGTCCACAATTTGCTTGTGCGTCCTTAAGGAATTTTAACCCCCTCACACGTTGCCAAGGTAATGGATTAAATCCTCCCAGGATAAAACGGAATAAACCTTCCTGCAACAGTGGCAATACAAACTGCAGGATACCAACGAACTTAAGAGCGGAGCAAAATCACACTTACGAATTCGAGAGAGAGAGACTGCGAATTAGAATGCAGTATTTTCAGAAAGAAGGAAGTTCTGTAATATTTTTGGCGTATTAAAAACAAAGCCATGCCTTTGAATTTATAGGCAATTATTGGAAGAGGTGTGATGTCTGTTCTGGAAAGGTGCCTGTTCAGAAATTGCGCCGCCTGCCGCGGTCCTACCGCGGTTACGCTAGGACGGCGGCCAAAGTGGCTCTCTGAACCTGTAGAAGGGTTCTGGCGCGGTCCTACCGCGGTTACGCCAGGACCGCGGCCAGACTATAATTCTGAATCTTCAGCATTGATCTGGCATTTAATTAATTATTAAATAATTAATTAAATAAATTTTATCCAAAAAATAATCTTATCGATCGATCATTTGACAAATCCAAATCCAAATCCAAATCCAAAGCTGAAGCCGAGCCGAGCGAGCGAGCGACGACGGCGCGAGGGTTCATTCTCTTCAACTCCTTTTAAGAGCTTTAAGAAGTGATTCTATATATAAGCACACAAATGTAGTTGTCCCTCACCAATGAGGGACAAAATGCAAGACATAAGCTCACTTCTTCAAATTTTCATTTTTCCCTCCATTTTATTTCCCTCCATTTCCAATTCACACTTTTATACTTTAAAGCCCAATGGCTTAAAAGTCCAACAATCCCCCACATGAATGAGAATGGCTGTATCAAGAAAGATCATAGATGAAAGCTGTGTGATTTGCAAGTAAGGATTAATTGCATCTGGATAAGTAGGTTTCCCTTTGAACTTTCCGTAGTGAACATATGTCGGATATACTCGGTCAATCGGTAGATTTGATATCTTTGAACCGTCGAACTTTAGTGTATACCTAGACAACCATATGTCACACAACCAACCCTTAACCGTCTTTTAGTTCTCATTGTTGTGTTCGTTTCAGCCATGAACACCTCGTGGTTTCATAAGTGCGTAGAGAATTGGCCTTACATAATTCTCATTGAAGCGGCTTCCACTTCACACTTTCATAGGTGATTCCTAAACGTGTAATCCTTTAGATTGACACTATTTGATAACTACCACATCAAACTTAGGTAATCATTAAAGAACGTGTAAAGTTCTATCCTTGTTACTGAACATTGTCTTCATCACGAGAAGGGACCAAAGATTTTACTTTGACAATGTTGAACCGGTCAATCACAACTTTGTTTGAGCTCCTTGAACCTAGATCTCGGAACATCCAAAATTCTAGGTAGAGTTACCGCCATGTTGACTTGTCCTTGGCCATAGTCCCATTCCCTTAGATGATTTTTCAACTCCCTCTCTAGTTAAGCCTTTTGTAAGAGGATCCGCCACATTATCCTTTGATCTTACATAATCAATAGTGATAATTCCACTAGAAAGTAGTTGTCTAACGGTGTTATGTCTTCGTTGTATATGACGAGACTTTCCGTTATACATAACGCTCCCTGCCCGTCCTATTGCAGCCTCACTATCGCAATGTATGCAAATAGGAGCCAAGGTTTTGGCCAGAACGGAATGTCTTCTAAGAAATTTCGAAGCCATTCAGCTTCTTCACCGGCTTTATCCAAAGCTATAAACTCTGATTCCATTGTAGAGCGCGCGATGAACGTTTGTTTGGAAGACTTCCAA